CTGTTTTTCACATCAGATTTTGTTTACTTGATGACATTGAATAAAAAGACTCGACTTACGTATATTGTTCTTTCTTGATGTTACTGGGGTTATAATTGCCAGCCAGGGTAAACTGAGTTTTCATCTATTTTGGTTTTATCATGTGCATTTCATCCCCAACAGCAAGAATTCCATGAACCCCCTTCCGTATATGGCTCCTATAGTTGATGTGTTTTTACTTCCTACAATGCTCAGTTATAGAAGAAAACATGATCGGTATCACACTTGCCCTTACTCGAGATGATATCAAGATCAGTTGGTATCTCCTATTCAATTCGGCACTAGCATATTTTGTGAATTTGACCAATTTTTTGGTCATGAAACACACCAACATCTCACTTGTATTCCCATTGATTTTTGTTCTCAAGTAATCTTGTGACGTCATACAAAAACTTTGAACACTATGCAAAGAGCTTCATTGACCAGAAATCCGGGCAGAAGCCACAGGAAAGGATGAATGTATTATCAAATGTTTTATGAACCAGTGATTATGGTGTTGAACCAATGTTGCGATCATATGGTTTCCATTTATTGATCCAAGATGAAGTATGTCTTCTTCAACCCCAAGATTAGAAGTGAGATATGATGAAGATTTCTTTCCACAGAAGGAGAGCTGAAATTTTAACAACAAGAAACTAGTGGAGCCAACTAAGGTTGAACGACAGGTTGTTGTTAAGCATCTCGACATGATATGGTCCAAGTTGCCTTATTCGAGATCTGATTATATGTGGAGACATGAAAGGAATTAGAATAAATCTTCCTTGTGATGTGTTTCAAGAGTCAAAACAAAATAGACGCTGATCTCCTAATTAATTTCTGCTGAGTTTAGCATATCTACATCTATATTGTTCAAAGATGATATATTCTCTTTTCAAATATGAAAGCTTTATTGGATTTCTACACAAGTCCGGATGAAGAAAGCCGATGCTATCAAGACAAAATGGGGCATCAAAGTCATAGTTCTGATTACAGCAAGAGTTCCATAAAAGAAACATTTCTTCTGAGACTTTCATGAAGCAAAGAAGACACGAAGATACAAGTTGATTAAATGGTTCTTCAGAAATGAAAGCTTGATAGCATAAGTTGCTACACTCCAGAGGTAACCCTGGAAATAAATGATGAAGTGAAGGAAGACCAAGTTCATCATTTTGAAATCAAATGAAGATTGCATCAACATTCATGCATTCATAAGAACATCATTTGCATAATAGACAATGCATTACATTGATACATTTGATTGCATTCAAACATAAGGTTTTTTCATATTTTCGTATGAAAAAGAAGATTCATGATGAAAAGCACCTTACAAGAAGAAGGTAGAATTCAAAACCTCAAATACAGGAATCATGCAAACATCTGAAGAATAGATGGACGCAATCCACAAGAATGAGCATTATCTTGAGATTGGGGCATGTTACCCAATCAACAAGTTATTTTGAAAAATAATGAGAAAACGATTTCCATAGTTTCTCATTCAATCTTTTCTAAAAATGAAATTGTTGAATAGTAAGAAAATGATTTTCATAGTTTCTTACTTAGTAAGCTATTTCCCACATCCATAAGACCTGCAGTGCCGGATGTTCTCGAAACATAAATTTATCTCACTTAAGATTGTTTTTCTTAAAACAAAATTTGTCTCGTTTGAGACAGTTTCACTCGAAACAGAACTTTATCTCACTTGAGATTGGTTTTCTTAAAACAAAATTTGTCTTGCTTGAGACAGTTTCACTCGAAACATAATTTTATCTCACTTGAGATTGTTTTTCTTAAAACAAAATTTATCTCGCTTGAAACAGATTCACTCGAAACAGAAGTTTATCTCACTTGAGATTGTTTTTCTTAAAACAAGATTCGTCTCACTTGAGACAGTTTCACTAGAAACAAAAATTTCCATAACTCGATGGATCAACATTTCCATCCTACTCAAAAGAAGTCAAATGAAAAAAAAATCGTCTTTGCTCTATTCTTGTTAACACAAAAATGAGCAAAGAGGGGCAGCTGTAAACACTAATTTTTCATTTTACTTAAATTATTATTTTAAAATTACTATTATTATTATTACTAAATATTATTATTATTATAATAATAATTATTATTATAAATATTATTATATTATTATTAATAAATAATTACAAATACAGAAGGCCCAAATATCAAACCCAGAGCCCAATAAACCCTAAACCCATTTACAAACCTGACCCTTTTACAACATAGGCCCGATTCAATCCAGAATCGACCCAAACCAAATGGAAACCCTAAACTTATTTAGTGTTTCTACTAGGGTTTCTAACCCTAGCGCCGCCGTCGCCTTATCAACTATCCAGCTGCTGCCGACGCCTCCAATGCCAAGTGACCCAACCAGTAACTGCCAACGCCGCTACCGACGCTCCACCAGTGCCACGCCCTCGCCAGAAGCCTCCAGAAGCTCCCCAACGATGGGTCAGCCGTCCACTTCGCTTCTCTATGGTGAGTCACCAACATAGCTTTGGTGACTCACCGAAGTTTCCCCCTTTGGATTGGTCCGAGAGCCATACCGTCGATGGCTATAAAAGCCATCGACCACACCTGCAACAAAAAAAATAGCGAGCAAGAACAAAAAACAGAGGGGAACAACCAACAACGAGGAGACACAACAACAAGGAACACATCTCAACAGCAACCAAGACAAAAAAACCGAGACAAAGGAGAGAAGAGAGTCACCGAGAGGACTACACATTATCGGAGCCTCCAAACCTCCGTGGAACCAGCGAAAACCGAGGTAAAACCTTCGATTTTGTTTAGATCTACAGATTTAAAGGGGTTTTTAGTACTAAAAGTACTTATATTCGGGTTCAAGAAAAAAGGGGGGAATTTTGGTGTAAAAATTTCATTTCCAACCACCGCGGATGGTGGCCGGCGGGGGCTGTCGGCGTCGAAGTAAGGCGGTCGGCCGGTGACCGGGCTCTTTCCGGCCAAAGATTTCTAGAGAGAGGCGGGAGAGTTTTTTTTCTCTTAGTTAGAGAGAAAATTGAAAGGAGAGAAATGAGAGTAAATGGCCCTTGGGGCCGGTTTTAAGGGGTATAAATACCCTCACCAAAACGACGTCGTTTTGGTGAGGGATACCCATTTAATTTCACGCATAGGTTAAACCCCGTCCGTGACCCTTCAGGTTTTGTAACATTCCATTTTAGTCACTGGAAATCGAATTCTAAACTTTTAATTTGGTCTCGTAAGTTTATTTTATTATAATTTAGTCATTTCTAGTATAATTATATATTTAGGTTAAATGCCTTATTTAGTCCTTTACAAAATTTTATAATTTATATTTTAACCCAAATTAATTAAATAGGGCTAAATTACATTATTAGCACTTAGATTTTTTATTTATTCGAGTTAAGGCCTTTAACTTTGATAAATTTTATTTTAATAATTGTTTAATAATTAAGGGTTAATTACACTATTAGTAATTGTATTTTTTATAATATTACGAACTAGGACCTTTAATTTTAATATTTTATATTTTAATCATATTATTTTAATTTTATGTGTTTTAGTCACTATTTAATTGCAATTTAATTTGTATTATTATCATTTCAATTTCAATGTTTAATTTAGTACTTTGATTATTATTTTTTTATTATTTTAATATATATTATTTAATTAATTTTGTAAATTAATAATATTTATTTATTTTTCAATATTAAGAAAGGGCAATCTTAAAGCAACTAGATGTCCATTTTCTGATATTTTTAAATAAATAAATATCTTATTTTTTTTAAAATTATATATAATAATCTATATTTTTTTAATTAATTATTTTTATATAAATGTTTTATTAATATTTATTTACTTTTTTATATAAAAAAACTGTCTTAAGACACCTAGAAGTCCTTTTCTGATATTTCCAAGTAAATAAATATCTTATTTATAAATATATATATATATATACATATATCTTAATATATTTTTCTTAAAATTATAAATTTGAAATAAACAGGATTATAAATTAAATATATCTTTGAATTTTTAAAATTTCCAATAATAGAAATAATTTATAATTAATAAGTACCAATTTTGGGGCGTTGTGGGGGTGATAATCCTTCCCCAAACGTAATCGACCACGAATCCTTTTTATTATTAAAAAGAACGAATCTTTGGTTAAAAAGCATATCAGTTTATCTTTTAACTGATGTTTTCTTAAAAACTCTTTTAAAAGATAATTTTTAGGACCAACTGTATAATTATATCAAATTTTTTAAAATCAAATTGATAAAATATATAAGTAACAAGGACCAACTGTATAATTATATCAAATTTTTTAACCATCACATCACCTTACCAATTAAATATTAACAGGGAATAACTTGAATACAATACTTAAATAATTAAGTGATTTGATTGAAAAAAATTTAAGATCGACAATCAAAATGAAAATGGACAATAATTAAGTGATGATGAATAGTTTACCCAAAAAAATTCATGACGTTTAAAATAGTTGTTGAAGTCAAGGTAATAATGTAAGAAAGGGTAAATTATATAAATGGTCACTTATGTTTGAATAATTTTTTATTTTTCCTACTATTGTTTTAAAACTAACAATTTGGTCATTAATATTATCGATTTATAATAAATCGATCACTCGTTGTTAACAACCGTTATTGAGGGTGACAAAATGCCGGTGTGGCACGTTAATTGGCTGACCTGAAGACCTTTTTTGTATAAGCCACATCAAACTTCAGTCAATATTATTCTACCACCCCAGTAACAACTGCTAACGGTGAGTGACTAATTTATAATAAAATCGATAATGTTAACAATCATATCGTTAGTTTTGAAACATCAGTGGGAAAAGAGAAACTTACTCAAATATCAATCTATTTATGTAAGTTACCCTTTAAGAAAACATATGAACAACAACATAGCAAATCATTCATTGTATGCAAGTTAATTAAGAGCGGAAGATGAAAGCAAAACCGTTGGTGGAAGTCTTGCATTACCAAAGAATAAATTTCCCAGTGTCAAATAGTTGTTAACACCGGGACAAAAACAATGATCACCACCTGCTTTACACAGGAATTATAAAACCTGTAGATTCTATTTGTCTATGTTCCTATTTTTCTTTATACAATGCTTCTAACAGGGCAGTGAGTTCTTTTGGAGTTGCTTCAATGGTAAATTATGAAAAGAGTAGTAACATGTAGTTCGCTAACACTATTCATAAACAAAGAAAAAAAGGGCGATGAGATGAGGTATATCCGCTTCATGAATTCCTAACCTCAATGTGTTGAGGCAGATAACTTCCCCGGAAGCTGCTTATCTTGCTGCTTTTTCAAATGGTTCTGAGCAGCCACATTGACAATCTTGACAAAGAAGTTCATAAGCATAATCCACACGACGGTGTTCCAGATCGAAGAAAAAGAGAAATCCCACTTCCCCTGCAAAACATTTTGCAGTTACAGAGTTCATTTAGAAGGATTTGTTTCTAGAGCGGGTGATAATTTAAATTCAGGCAAAAATAGAAACATTTTTTTGTACCAACTCAAGGAGTACCTTCATATTTGAAGGGATTGGATGTGGGGAAGCCAAGTACTCTTCCTTGACTGCATGAAGTTTTGCAGTGAGTGTGGGAAAGTAAGAGTCGAAACCAGGTATGAGGCTGCTGAGCAGCCAGATCAATTCATTCTCTATCCATTCCAGGAGTTGATTATTACAGACAGAGATGATGAACACCGTCTGCAGTGAAGGAATCAAATACATACATGTAAGACGTAGAAGTTTCCCTGTGTCTGATAGTAGTCAACTCCAACTGAATAATTCTACAGTGGATATGTTTCCATGAAAACCATAATAAAAAATTTAAACAATTGAAGTATTACAAGAGCTTCATTTCAGGGGGTAGAAACAACTTGATTCGGTATAAAAGATAACAGGGAACTGATGCTCTTCTTGTATGGTAAAACACAAAGAAATCATCAGCGACCTGTATGTGAGTTTTAATAATCGCCTTCCCAATCAATGTTGCTAGAAAGAACTCCCAAAATGGAATACCAAATTGTCCACACATGATGCCGGCAAGGTCAAATAAAGGATTTGGGACTGAAACAGGGTTCAGTCCATCAGCAGGTTTACATGATAAAATCTATCAGCAATGGCATAAATAGCATTTATAAACTGTGGCGAACTTTTATGATCTTAAGTGAAAACTAACAAGACTTACTCTTCAAATGCTTTTCAAGTTTCTCCAATATACTCTCACAACATAATACCACACTTCATAATTGACTTGTTAAAATTTTTACATCAAGTTTACATTATCAACAAAATTTTATAGGTTGAGAAAACTTTTACCAGGACGGTTATTTGTCATAAAGTAGGATACTACCCTGGAGAAAATGTATCCAGAGATTGATGTTTTTAGGCAAAACTATGGGTGTGGGTGTACATTTGCTTTTTCTCATGCATGTGAAGACAGAAAACAGAGATAACAGAGATAAAAGAAGCTGCAGTAAAAACAAATGTCTAAAGCAGAATCAATATTTTGCTTTGTTCAAAACGTAGGGATATGAAATGAAAAAGGTGAATTACAACTAACCGAGGCAAGCACTAAAATGGTGAAGAAGTTCATGTGTTTGGAGTGGGATAACAACCAGAGCTTGATCTGGTTCAAGCGAGTAGCTATGATTCCAGTATTCTCACTTGAGGAAACATCCAATTCTTCCATGACGTTAAAATTGCTGCCTGATAGACTGGCTGCATAGAGAAGTAGGTCGATATAAGCTGGATAATTTAACGGTATGGACAAGTAGAAATTTAAATAGAAATAACAATAGTCATTAGACAACCAACATTTAGACAAAGAACAGAGAAGGATTTTAACTTCATAATCACCTATCAATGAGGAATCAAACGTTAATAAGGGAACTAAATTACAAACTCAAGCGAACTAGATCAACAAACAACATTTAAAAAATTGAAGTTACGGACTAAAACAAAAATTTAAACAATAAATCCAATTTTCATGAGGGTTGCAGAAACAAAGCGTCTGGCTTCATCTTGGAATAGAAGGTCTCAAGGAACTCCTTTGCATATTGCAATGTTAAACCCAACCGTTATCAAACACATCAAATTCAATGCTAAAAGGATGGGGCCTCTTCAAGAAATGCTCTCCCAGCCTACCATAAATAAATTCTTCTAGCAAATCTTGTTATTGTAATAGAATAATAAAGTAAAAAGACAATGCTCTTACCTGCTCTTGAGATGAAGTAAGGAGGAAGCTCTCCAATTGCAGTCCCAAGACCCCATAAGATAGCTTCCATCTGCACCTGTGGCAATATGCTGCTAATGGGAACCCCTGACCCATGTGATGATGAAAACAATGGAGGCCTGAAATCACTGCAGGATTTGTCTAGCCATGAAGAACCTCTCTTCAATTGTATCGTATCATAAGGAGCACTTTTCAGGTCTATTCGTCCACATTGCATTGCTTTTATTGTAAAGAAAGTAATATGAGGACCCAAATAAAGAACAAAAGTGTGCAGACCAGATCCTGGGATACCGAAGGTTAAGTAAGTTAAAATCTGATCAAGGAAAATTTCTCCTGGTGTCCCAAAACTTACAAGAAAAATTAAAAGTAGAATGAAAGTATAATCAGATCAAATTCAAGAAAATTTCCTTGGCACAAAAGTGGACATAGCAGAAAGCATACAAATAGATATCCTCTCTTTCATCACAATAGAAATTTGAAAACAAATGGGTAGACCATACACGTCAAGTTTAGAAATAATCATTCAAGTTATTCCTAATGCTTAAAATTTAAATTAGTCCAGTTTATTTGATAAGTACAGATCAAGAAAACCCAAACCAATTTATTTTTAAAAAAAAAGAAAGAAAAGGCAGCAATTAATAGAAAGAAACACGTCTAAAAGATAAGACCTATCTTTCAATGCAGAAGAAATTGCATATTTCCATAAATATCATTTCACATCTGATATGTCAGGCATTGTTCTGAAGTGTTTAAACAGTCTACATCATACCAGTGAATTGTAACAGCAACAGAAAATCATGAATTCATTCTAATCATGCTTTATTCATCAAGCATACTCCAGACATCATAAAAGATCTTCATGAAATCAATATTCTTACCAAGACCAATTGAAGATGCAACACCAAGTGCAATCCACCATAATCCAAACTGAATATACTGAGAAACTTCCTCAACATGCTGCGAAAAAAATAATCAAGACAACAAATGTTAATTACTGTTTCCATTAATCTGATCATGATAAGTGATGAAAACTACTAATGAAACAGAAACTATTTCAACTAAACAATGTGCAAAAACTCATCATAATCACCATAAAAGTAAAAAGGTACAAATGTATATTTCATTACAAGGAAATAAGAAGCAGCACAACCCATCCACCACCATCACCCTCTCTCTCCCCACCACAACAGACACACAAGAGAAGAAGAAGAAGAAGAAGAAGACCAGGGAAATATATTAATAATGCCACTTGCATCTCTCAAAGGCACGGTTAAATGGAGCAGATAGTGCACAACTATCACAAATTCTGAACAAGTAAAAGACCTCAACTACATATAGATGCATGCTGTACATCAAAATAAAACCATGAGAAATACACATGAAAATACTAGGATAACCTACATAGTATTAACTTTTCATGAGGGCCCTCAGTGGTCAAGAGAAAAATTCCAAGAGCTGCTATTAGGGTGATTAAAAACATAAGCCAGCTTCCCTTTGCAAAAAGATAAAATATTGATTGCTTGAAATATTCAAAGATAGCCAGAATCAAAAGCCTTTACGTTTTGAAAGGCTGTGTTGTCAATGTCAATTTCTCTAATTCTTGTCTCTGTCTCTTTTGAAGATCTGCAAAATTTAACAAGTCTATCGGCTATGGATCAGGAAGAACTCCATGACTCAAGATTCTCTCTTTATACAGCATGTGCACATAAAGCTAAAATAATTTAGCATGCCTTCATGAAAGAAGCTAATATATCCACGTCTAATTCATTTAAGAAGGATAACAAAGAAATTATGACAAAAAAAAAAGTTCGCGATAGAATTTTACTTCCTCATGTAATAGGGAGCTCCATGTTAATAACCAAATCAATTCTTAGAAAATATACTAAATTACCATCATTGATAATAGTTAAAAGCATTGCCCATAAGTTATTATTTCAATTTCCAGAGTAGTCAGAGGATTTAAAGGATTGGAATCAAGAAAAGTGAGTTAAATGCACTTATAGTGGTGTTCAATTATTTGAAACAGAACTCCCAAAGAACTTATTAGACAGTATTCAGATGAAGAATATAAGAAAAACAAAGCATGAATAATTTCAACAAGGCAGGAGGAATTTTGACCTATCTTATGGAAAGAGGTTAACATATCTCATACTTTGGCAGAAGCCAAATGGCTAAGCACAGCATTAAGAAACTAGTTGCGATTTTTCCAACCTCAATTACAACACAAAGGTAGAGGTTCAACCCAGAAAGAAAATGTATGCACATGCATGCACACTTCCATCTTTTTTCTGCACACAATAAAGTGAGTTCTAAGTACCTACACGACTTTGACATAATTTCCAAGCACCAACCCTAATAAATCTGTACTTATTTTACGTCTATTTTCGTTTCCCATAATGTTGCTGAAAAGTCCAAATCCATATAACATCAAAACTACCAAAAGCAATCGTTGCAGAAATAAACCATCCCTCAAGAAGGAAACATTTTTTACTACAAAGTCACTAAGCAGTTTCCATAAGATAAACCCTTAGTTCTCAGCTAAATAAACATTGAACAAAGATTGAATCTTCATCAAATTGACATCATCTCATAACCATAAAAACTTAAAACAAAGTAAACAATTTCATTTTTCTTTATGCGGCTTTTCCAGAATATGGAAAAGCAACCTTTCATATATTCAACTCACATTGATCTTTCAAATAATCAACCAAACAATTTTTAGAAGTACTCAATTTAATCAAGTATTGATTTTTACAACAATTCCATCCTAATTAATCTAATTAATAAACTAGAAAAATAATAAATGACAAGAGATACAGAAAAACCAAACAATAACACGATTCAAGTTCTTAAATAAAATTATATGAGGAGAAAAAACCCCAATTACAAAAAAAGGGAAATAATAACAAAAAATTCAAAATTTCAGGAGAGAAAAAAAATGCCTTCGATCGTCTTACGCATCCGTTGAGAAGAAGTCCCGCGTTTGCTTGACCCCATCTCTGAACTTACAAACTACAATTAAATTGATTTACTTATTCCGCTTTGGGGCCAGGAATCAGACGGGCATAATCGAACTGATTGAAAAGGAATCAATTTTTTTCCTCTTTCCAATCACGAATAAAATAATAGCAAAGAATTTTGTTTGTTATTTGGATTAAAATTGAGATTTAGAGAAGAAGAAATCAAGAGCGGGAGAGAGTAATTTTTGCGTTAAGATCTCCACTTTTCCTACTTTTAGCTTATTTCGCGCGCAATATCAATAATTAAACAAAAATATTAATTTTAATAACATTTAGGGTAAACTACTAATTTAGTCATCCAATTATTCTTGTAGTTCTCAATGGCGAATGCAGGGTTTGCCCAAGATGGGCACGTGTCCGTCTTGAAATTTGAATTTCTTTATGTTAGTAATTCATTTTACTAAGAGTGCTCACTTTAAAATTTTATTTGTGTTTACTCCATGCGAAAATTTTATGTTATTACTATATATGTATTTACTCTTAAAAATATTTCTAGATCCGCCACTGGTAATTTCAATTTGGTTGGCTGACTAATTTTATTTTCAAAATCATAGCTAAATTTACGTTTTCGTTCGGTTTGTCACCAACTATTAAAAAAATAAACTGTGATGTTGACGTGTCAATATAAGTTAATATCACATCGTCATTGAATTTGATTTTTTTTCAACAACAGGTGACCAAAACGTAATTTTAAATATGATTTTTACAACAACAAAAATTGAGTGACCAAAACTGAACTGCAAGAATAATTTGACAACTGAATATAAATATATAGTTTAACCTTATATTATAATATTTCTGTATGACCAAAAAACAAGTTATATATTTTTATATATCTTAATTTGTAATTTTCGACTAAAGTTTTAGTATTATATTATGAAATTTTATATAAATTTAGGTATGCAGAAAATCTTCATCAGAAGAGTTATTTATCAAAGTCATGTTTATGATACTTATCGATCCAGATTAATCAGAGTAAAATCTTAGAGAATCAGGATGACAACTCAAAAAAAATAATATATATATATATATATATATATAGTTTTTAACCATTTGACAATGAACATTCAATCACCCTTGTAGTTGTTAGTGCTCAAAGTCGTAACCTCTAGAAACAATAACAATTCATTTAACCACAGAGTTAAGTTGATTCGTGCAGTTTTTGACACATTAAATTTTTTATAAATTGTGACATTATTGTTTTTGTATTATGTTCGTGTTATATTTGTATCTTGGTGTTTTTATTGTATCTTAATTCAATAGTATATATAGATTCACTTAATTAAATATTGTATCATTCTATTATACATTCAAACAATTGATTTATTAAACCAAAAAAAAAAACAATTGATTTAAATATTATATTCTAAATTTGAATCAATCTTTTCGGTTAGTTATTTATTTTATTGTTGATATCAATCTTGAAATTTTATTTGTACTCACCCTCAAACCTAAATTATTTTAGGTTAATTACCTATTTTGTTGATAGTGTCCACCTTGAAATTTTATTTGTGGCCGTTCCATTCAAAAAAAATTATGTCGTTAATATATACGTGTCCACCTTCAAAAATATTTTTAGATACACCAATAATAACGAGGATATATTAAGAATTTCCTATGACCAAAAAGGATTATGCTTGACCTTTCTTACAAATAGGAGGATAACTTTCTTTCGTGTTGACAATTTAAAAGATTATTTTTCCACGACAGTAAGTGATTATAGTAATTAAAAGAAATATTTTTTTAAGATCATAAGTTCGAATAATTATATCTATAGAGTATATATAATCGCAAGTTTAATTAAGGTTATACGGATTCTTCTAACCTCCTCTTATTAATCAAATCTCAAAGGTCTTATTAATAATTTAAATGATCCATAATAATTTTGTGTCTTAGAATGTACTCTCAACCATCTTATAATCGTTGGTGCTCGAACTCATGATCTCTAAAAACAATAACGATTCATTTACCTATTGAGATAAGTTGGTTGGTGCAAGTAAAATAAATCTCTAAAACTATGATCCTTCATATATTGATCTGATCCTATTATCCTTTAACATTTAATATCTAGAAAAAAAAGTGAAGGAATAACTAAAAAACTCGATATAATCCAACCATACAACTAACAATAAGATATTAAACAGAGATCATTTAATAACAATATAAACATAACAACCTTATAATAAACATAATAATAACAATAATAGTACATGCAAACAACATTAAGGGCCAGTTTGGTATATTCTCACTTTTATTTTGGTCATTAAAGTTTAAAAATTTTTAATTTAATTACTTAACTTTTAAATTGTTCATGTTTTAATCACTCTAATTTCTTTTATTAATAATTGTTTGGCGTGACTTTTGTCCCTATAGTAGACCCAATATATCATATTCACTCCTATCATATTTTAGCATCAATTTAGTCTGTCACACCCCAATTTAGGGGCTAGATTTTATTAACTTAAAATATTGAATTAAAGTCGTAACAAAGGAAATGTTGGGGATTAAAATGCTTGATTTTAAAGTATGATGGTTGTTGTGCAAGCTTGATGATAGTTGAGGGATCCAACCCTAAATTTGTTCATCTTTTGTCAACTAAAATAAAACAACCCCCAGTGAAACACCAAGCCAAGCTCTTTACCTTTCACCCATCACCGCTACCTTCGATCCACCTTCGTTTGACCGTCGTGGTTGTCACCGCCACCACCGTCGTGTTCACCAGTGACATACGAACGAAACCTGAATGCCACATCGTTGATAAATGTCGCCATTTGCAGTGGAGAACGATTTAAAGTAGCGTCGAAAGAAAACAAAACTTCCACCGCTGAAAGTCGTCGATTCCACCACCTCTGTGGCCCGAGCACGACATCGCCTGCATCATTGAACTCAGCATACAATTTCGGTCGAGACCCAATCAATGGATCGCTCCATTGTCGTCATTTTGTTTTTCCGACGTTGAGTGAGCATTTTCGATCCTTGCTCATTCATTTTAATTGAGTTTGGTTTGATTGTGTTTTGATTTTTGAGCTGATTTGGAATTGTTTTGGTGTGAGAATGATCGTGGAGCAATCGGCCTACCACCCCGAGCCCGTTGTCGCCGTCACGCACCGTCGTACACGCGTTGGGCTCTTCCCCTCCAAGGAAATCTTCTAGAATTGGTTCGGGTGGATCGAACCGGCTTGACCAGATCCGAATCAAGTCTTCTCGACTTAAATTGGTCTGACCGTTAACTTTGACCCGAAAAGTCAAATTCTTCGAAAAGTCATATTTTTTTGTTTTTTGACATCCTAACTCCGAATCCGAAGTCCGTTTCGCCAAATTCCAACCCGGTAAGCTATTTTTCATCATTTTACCTTTTGATTCGATCCGTTTTTCGTAATTAAGCCCCGTTTTTTATGTAATTTCTATTTATATGTATCTGAGATATTATTAGACGTTTGATTCAATATCGAGAGTGATTGAATGGAGTTTAAATATTTGATCGGTGGAGCACGAAAATCGATGTAATACTCTACTATCTTTCGTATGTTGTATGGTACACATTGATAGTTGGTAAATTCATGAATGAGTTTGATTGATCTTATGAATATCGTTGATTGAGGTAAACTCGGTATGTAACATCCTCAATACCGGGTTAGTGATCAAATTGTAAAGTTTCAGAATTTGGTGACTAGAGTAGAACCATGGATTAGTTCAATGATTTATTTGGAAATAAATCATAAAAGTTGTTGGCAATTATTAAATGAAGTGAAGGGTAAAATGGTTATTTGACAAGGAATATTTTTTTATTTTCCCTTATAAGATAAGGAAACCACGTGGGAAGAGAGAAAATGTTCCAGAGTTCTCTTCTCTTCTCTTCTCTTCTCGTCTCTTCTCTTCTTCATTCTTCATACGTGAAGGCTTGAATAAAATGTGAGTCTTCTATTTAGATAAATTCTGGTTAAATTTAAGGTTGGGTTATGATCATTAGATGATAACTAAGCTTAAGGAAAGCTTAAGTTATCTTAAAATCAAAAGATAAAGGAGTTAGGGAAGATTAAAGATTTGGAGTTCTTGAGTGAAATATTGAAATAGAGTTTATAATAAGAATTGAAAGTTGAATTTCACTTGCCATCAATAAGAATAAGAGATTTATGAAGTTAGAAAGGATTAATAACAAAGTTGAAAGTTTAGCAAGATTATTAAATTTTAAGAATCATGATGAGATATGGAAGATAAAGATGGTTTATATGGATATAAGTTTGTTTAAGTGATGGTAGTTGAGTTTAATGACATGATAGGGACTTAAAATAGAAGAATTGAGTGAAAAGTTGATGGTTTTCAGGCTTAAAATACAAATTTTGGGCAAGGTGTATCGATGCACATTCAATGTGTATCGATGCACTCTTTAAAGAAGAAACATCGAATGTAATTAGTGCATCGATGCATAAGGAGTGCATCGATGCACACCATTAAAATGAAAACATCGAAGGTGATTTGTGTATCGATGCATGGGTAGTGCATCGATGCACATGTTAAAGAATGCATCGATGCACTGTAGAATGTATCGATGCACTTGAAGGGGAAAATAGAATTATACCTTTCTTTTGGTCTAAGGAATGATAGATTAGAACATATCAATTGGATACTAATATGTATCAATGTATGATTATATAGATATCGAGCACGAACAAGTTCCGGAACGATTATCAAGTTAAGATTCGATCGAAAGAAAGGAAATCATAAAAGTGGATTGGAACTTAGTGAGGCCCAGGTGAGTGCATATTAGTTAGTCTATGGTGCTAAATGGAAACAAGACTTGCGACAAGTCTATTTCCTATATTAGAATGCATGAATATATGATTATACGTATATGAATGACATGAATTGTATGTATGCATGATTATATGTGTTAACATGCTTTTGAATGTAATGATATGAGAAGTATGTGCTATGTAACTGCATGAGAAAGATATGATCCATATGATATGATATATGTGAACATGAGAAAACAAGGTATAAGATATGAGTTATGTGATCCTATGAGAATATGAAAAGAAGCTATGTGACTATATGTATATGTGAAAGAAGCTATGAGATTATATGACATGTAATATGAAAGCGTATATGTGAAATGATATAAGTGAAAATGCCCATGTTATATGATATGAGAGCTATAGGTATAGTTGGCATGCCAAGAGTCGAGGGTTCTACGTGGTCCTTCGGGACGTATATGTATCCTTTGGAACATTTACAAAGTCTTTTGAGACATATTTGATCCATTGGAATATGTATATGGTTCTTAAAGATTGGTCATTCGGGACAAATACAGTACATAGGTCCTTCGGGACAAAATTTCATAGCCCCTAGTGGGACCCCATATGAGCTGTGGTGACAGCATAGTGCACAACCTCAATAAACTCACATATCTACAATTCTCACAGATGTACATGGGCTAATAAAGAGATAATATAAATAAATTTGATATGATTGTTATGTAATTGTGTGTTTGAATATGAGTGTAATAGTTGTATGTATTGCATATGTTATTATCTATGTTAAAAATTATGTTAGTTTGATATGTTGGAATATATGAGATTTTATTATTTGATTGTATAAATTATACATTAATTGTTAAGAGTTATAGTTACCTTATATGTTTTATATGCCTCACTAAGTCATCGACTTAGCGTGTGAGTGTTTCACACGTAGGTTTCTGGAAGGAAATAGAGAAGCGAAGCAGCGATAGTCAAGGCAAGACAGGTCAACCTCTCCTTTCCTATGATCAGATCAGAAAAGAGTTTAGAATTATTTGTATTTGGTTATTGGAAATAGTTGGCATGTAATTAATGTTTGGAATTATATACGCTCTGATCAGTTTTGAAGATATTATTATTTTAATGATATGAATTATGAACTTATATTGAATAAAAGTGGAATTTTTTTCTTATATTGGTATACAAATATAAGTTTTGAAAAGTCAATGTGACACCTCGGACTCGGATCCGGGTCGGATACGAGTTGGGGTGTTACATGGTATGATTACGATAAGAATGTAATAAATCGTATATTACTCGAATGACTCTAGTAAGGAATTAGAAGATAGGTAAGCAATAAATTCAAGTTCAATGATTAATCAGTAAATCAACTGAATTTAAGATCCTTAAACTTTGATTATTTTCGTTAAAGGTTAAATGTTGGATATTCATGCATAAGAAATTACAAAAATATCCTTAAGTTGTAAAAATGGTATGTATTGACCCTGATAGTAGAATTACCTCGAAAATCTATATTTTTTTTACCGGATACGCACCTATTAATTCCTAATTTATTTAGAAAATATCTTATAATCAATTTTTAACCTCAGAAAAAATAGAAGACCTATAAATTTTGATTCTTGAATAAACATTTAAAGCCTAATTTATTGGAAGTATTGCCACTAACAGAATTGAATGGAATGACGATAATACCCTTAAAGTGTAAAAATAACTATATATAGCTATGATAATGGAGACGACCTGAGAACTCATATTATGATCCACTTGAACCTTGGAATCACCGATTAAATTCCCGATCTATTTGAAAAAACCCCAAAAATAAAATTTTATATTTGGAATTCTTAATATGACGATCTCCTCGTTTTTGAATGATCATTTGAAGACTAGATTATTGGAAGTGCGACACGTCACCGAAGTATTTAAATGATGGATTATCCTCAAGTTTTGAAATAACTAATGTGTCTGGACCCCAAAATAACTAAAATAACCTCGAATACTGAGATAACCTAAATACCTTTATGACTTAGATTAAGTGAATGTCTTTGGATAGACTATGGGAACACCGATGAACCTAAATGATGTATTCCCCTAAAGGTTATGAAGCACGACCCAAGTCACCAGACATTTTGGATAATATTACAATATATAAATGAAATAAATACCGATGGAATACCTATTCGTCTCCTCAAGAAATGATCAATGATGATGTTGATATTGATCAGTTTAGCTAGTGCAATCAGTATTAAGAAGTGAATAATAGTGAAGTATCACGATCCGAATGATTGACAAGCATCTCAGTGTTGGGATATGTAGTTCAATTGGACTTGAAATCCTGATAATTCAATATATAATCTTGAATAGCACAAACCATCACTCTACCCTTATTAAGTTAAATTACTGAGAATTATCCAAGAAACAAAATGCCTGAAATACTCCTGTTTGTTTGAATAATGGAATCACTCCTATCATACCTGAAATCTTAAGTAACTCTGATACAAAGATTCTAAATACCTACCTGATTACCAAGTACCTCCGAAGAATAACTGGATCATCTAGTGTGTTCCTTAACTGACATGTAAATGTTTTACATGTTTTAAAGCGTGATTTTTTGAAATTATAGATTTACTAATATTTTAATTTACTTTTAAATGAACTATGGCTACATGATATGTGTTCTCTGATTACCCGTTTTCAATGGAAAGTATAATCGTTCCTGATTTATGGATCATGGGATCTACTGGTTACTACTTGAATTGTTTTATTGGGACATTATCTGGGTAGGTTGGAGTATGGAGATTTAACTAGGTCAAACTGGTAATTCCTTATATAGGTTCAAACCGATCGAGCTGGTAATTCCTTACGGATCTAAGTAGGCCTGTAAACGAACCGAACGCACATGAACGGAGGTATGTTAATGTTCGTTCATTTAATACATAAACGAACATAAACGAACAAAATTATTTTGTTCATGTTCATTTATTAAGGAATATAACTTGTTCATGTTCGTTCATTTA